AAAATGAAATCTGCATCTTCAAAAAGCTGGTCAGCAGAAGGAAGCGTGAAGTGCTCCAAAATTTCTTGGTAAATGGGTGCAGTGACGTTGGTTTTCAAAAAACACAATGGACCAACACCAGCAGATGACATTGCACCCCAAATCATCACAGACTGTGGAAACTTAACACTGGACTTCAAGCAACTTGGGCTATGAGCTTCTCCACCCTTCCTCCAGACTCTAGGACCTTGGTTTCCAAATGAAATACAAAACTTGCTCTCATCTGAAAAGAGGACTTTGGACCACTGGGCAACAGTCCAGTTCTTCTTCTCCTTAGCCCAGGTAAGACACCTCTGACGTTGTCTGTAGTTCAGGAGTGGCTTAACAAGAGAAATACAACAACTGTAGCCACATTCCTTGACACGTCTGTGTGTGGTGGCTTTTGATGCCTTGACCCCAGCCTCAGTCCATTCCTTGAGAAGTTCACTCTAATTCTTGAATCGGTTTTGCTGGACAATTCTCATAAGGCTGCGGTTCTCTCGGTTGGTTGTGCATCTTTTTCTTCCACACTTTTTCCTTCCACTCAACTTCCTGTTAACATGCTTGGATACAGCACTCTGTGAACAGCCAGCTTCTTTGGCAATGAATGTTTGTGGCTTACCCTCCTTGTGAAGGGTGTCAATGATTGTCTTCTGGACAACTGTTAGATCAGCAGGCTTCCCCATGATTGTGTAGCCTAGTGAACCAAACTGAGAGACCATTTTGAAGGCTCAGAAAACCTTTGTAGGTGTTTTGAGTTGATTAGTCATCCTGTTATGAGATGCACCTGTATATACTGTGGGTAGTTGTACCAAACCACAGTTTGTTACACAACAGAACATGCCTAACATTCACCACAAGGGGCGCTATAGCAGGCATTTACATAACTTTCTTCTGCTTCAGTCAGTTTCTGCTTCAGGTCAACTAAAGTCATGGCGGAGCAACAGTTTGATATTGCATCAGTTTACATTAGTTAAACTGTCAACAAGTTTCTAACTAGCTAGTTGAAAATAACACATCCAGTTTAATGGCAGTTTAATGTTTCTGCCCTAAAAGAGTCTGTTTGCAAGAGTCCACTTGCATTAAAAGCAATACAAGATACAGCATAACGGCATTATAAGATATATAGCCATATGTTTAAAATTATTAAAATGTAACTGATAATATTTTAAAATGAGTCAAACACACCTTAGCTTAGCGTTTTGGTATAAATGTCAAATTTGAATGATCCAAACAAATCCAGATGGACAAAATCAAGTCCGGTTCTACATTATTTCCTACCAAAATACCTTTTCACTTTCACTTTGATACCTCTCGTGCTAATGTATGTGTTATAGTTTATAGACATTAGGGTATATCGTGCATGAAACAAGTTTAAAAATACTACACGTTTGTAATGCACTCGCCAATCATTCACATCCATATCTGCATACTTGTATAAAATATGCTTCTGACCTAAAAGTGGAGTTTGTTTACAAGAATCCAATTGCATTCAAAACAAAACAGCAGCTTACAGCTTACAACAACAACCTATACATGCAGAACAGCCTGCGCTCATATTAATGTACAGCACGCTCACAGCCTGACCACATATTACAGGTGTACTTCAGTAGCACACAACCTGTACTTTATCAGCCGGTTTGGACAACAGAGCAACAAAAACAAGCCGTGTAGATTCTTTTACTCCTCTGCCTGGTCAAGAGCGTGGTTCAGACAGCCACATGCCCTTTTTATTATGTTTGTCTAATAAGAGCTTTTAAAACTATTCCTCAGGAGACAGAGAGCATTAGTGAGGGTGGAATAGGTAAGTATGAGGTAAGTAGGAGGGTGTGTGAGAGTGTAGCGCCTCAAAACACTAAAACAACGGGACGTATGGGTGACAGTGTGGTAAAAAACAAACTGGCTAACCAATCAAACATGCATATATCAAAAATGTCCAAATGAATTACCTTACAAATATTTGAAGACATGAAATTAAAATGGATCATGTTAACTTTATTAATAAATATAAATGGTCTTAACAATACTTATTAGTATAGATTTTACTTAAAGAAAAAGTACATTTTTGTATACTATATTATTTTAATTATAAATATTGTCATGTTTAAAAATATTATGTAAAAAGATTATATATGTATATATATATTTCAAAATAATATTCTTAAACAGATGCCAATATTCTTAATATTTATAAAGATATTTAATATATTTTAATAATTATTTAATAATTAAATAATATTTTACAATTACTCAAACACATCAAATTACTACTTTAATACTTTAATATTACTTATTTTTATTATTATATCTTTGTATATTGTGTATGATTTAAAAATAAATATATAAATATTTAATATTTTTAGATAATATTTTAAAATTAGTCAAATATAGGTAAACACCCATTTTTTATG